TTTTCAGGTGATAGAGACACTAGGGGTCTTATTTCATTTCTTGTTCTTAATAGTTCTTCGTTGAATCTTGTCATGTGACACAATAAAGTGGGTGCTCGAATCTTTGGAGTGTGCTCTTGTAAATCCTTTTTTGATTATTTGTCAAATGAATATTCTTCTCCTATCTTTACTCCTGCTTTGGTGATATGGAAGGTGAAAGTGTCTATTAAAGTGTAAGTTTTTGAATGGATTGTAATACTTGTGATATGCGTCAGAAAAGAAGTTATCAAACTTATCTTTTCCCTCGGGGGTTTCATGTGAAAAAGTGATTTTGAAAGTATTGATCATTTAGTTTAACATTTGCCATGATGTTTTGACATTGTGGTATAAGTTGTTTCTATTGGCGGGGTTTGAATGGGTTGATTCTCGCATCATGCATATCCTTATTTATTGAAGATATGAAAGGTCTGGGAAGCCTTGACAAAGGTGTGACCTTTTGGAATTGTGCTATCATTGCTACGTTTAGTGTTTGAGATCTCATCCTTTCCTTATTTTGGGCTTCGGTTTCTAAGGATTTTAAAGAAATTCCAATTTTTGCAATTTTAGTGGGATGGAGAGACGTGATTTATAGGCTTGTTATGTATTTTTTTGTCTTTCATCTTTTTCCTCATGGTTGAATTTCTTATCCTGCCTCTTTTATATATATCTCATTTTTTATTAATACAAGAGTTCCGTTACCTATAAAAAATACACACACACGCGCACACAGGGGAGTGTATATTTGTGTGTATGGTTGTATGTCAGATTCAGGGGAGTGTATTTATGTTGCTTAACTTGCATTACAGGATGGAGAGCATTTATCAAAGAGAAAAATGGGCATAGGGCTCAAAACCGAGGACGAGGAAGGAGGCAAAAATATCGTGGTACTGGTGGACAAGGTATACAAGCAACTTGCTGCTTTCACTTTTGGTTATGTTCCTTTTTAAGGATCTTGTTTCACTGAACCAATTGGCTCTCATAAATTATTCACAAAACAATTTATAGGCCATGGAACCATTTCCTCTAGTCATGGTGTTGAAACCTCAAAGCCACCACCTGGCCCAAAGATGCCTGATGGAACCAGAGGATTTACCATTGGGCGTGGCCGGCCTTTGGCTTCAAATCCAAGTTGAATGTTCTTCTGTTTCAAGTCCCTTGGGTTCTGTCTAGCTGATAAATATGTGCAATGACAGTGTGATTTGAGTGGCTGTGTGATTGATCGCAACTATCGAGTTTGATTGCCTGTTTTTTAGTGCTGTCAACTTGCAAATGAACTCCAGTATTGCCTAGTCCCCAAAAGAACACCCTATACTATAAAAAGCAATATCAAACAAGTTTTAGATTTGCTTGTGATATCATGATTACAAAATCTAATAGTTTGCAACTGGGTTTGCCTCTGCATGTTTTATGCTAAGATGCTTGGCATTGTGGTATAATTGTGATCTGAACGGTACGGGTTCTAAGTGTAGAAATACTTTTTCTGCATGGGGGTAAGGATGCTTACATGTATTCCTCCCAAAATTCCGTTGTTTTTATGTCTACCCAAGTTCCCTAAGCTGTAGCAAAGTCCTTGCTGCAGAAATGAAATGGTTGAGGGTGAAGGTGGGTGGATGTTTTTTTTTTTTTTTTTTTGGGGTGGGGGGGGGAACGGAGAGGGGGAATAGGGACTTGAACCCTAACCTCAACAAGACAAGGAGTACCATTAGACCAAATATTCACTGATAAGGTGGATGGATGTTAGAATGGCTTTTGATGATTTAAAAGGGATGGCTAATGGCACAAATGCAAGAAAAATTTTTGGAAATTGGATGGTTGAATTATATTACTGCTTGTATGTTCTGTTTTTTATTGTCGGATTATAGAACGGAAAAATTCAAGTTTGGATCAGATTTTGACCAATACGTATTTGAATTGGACATAAAACCTTAAACCTACGAAGAAATTTATTATTTAGTCCATTTTTGAATTTAGTAAAAAAATAAATTCCGATAAAGATCATAATTATTGAATTACACTTGCATTTTAGCCAACTATATGAAAATTTCAATTCAATCTTATCTTATAATTAATTATTTCATTACGTTAAATTTGGATTGGAAATGAGAGGTATATTTAAGCCTAAATTCGTGAGATATAGTATAATAGGTTTAAATTTAGATTTTTATCATTGATCTGAAGTATCAATTCATATCCAATTAATTAGATTTAAAATTGGATGTTGCTATACATGTACAGTTTGCTTGCATAACTTATGACGTATGATCTTGGGTTTCAGTTGTGTGGCCCTTTAGATGATGTTGCGTACTCATTTTTAAGTTGAGCAAATTACAGTTTGCACCGTAAAAGTTTTCAAAATTTTTATTTTACATTCTTAAAAGTTAAAACTCTCATATTGCACCCTTAAAAACATTAAAAGATTTTTTTTTTTTGGTCAGGAAATAAAATTGTATTAGAAAACTAAACAGAGGGTCATCACAAGGATGTATTACATCAAAACACTCATCCTATCCCTACTTTTTCCTCCCTGCTCAAGACTCTCCTGATCTGGGGTGGTAGCTCTTCCACCCAACTGTTAGGTAGTATTCCAACTCTTGCCTGTGTAGTTGCACTATGTGATGCCATATTTGCCTCTCTGCTAATTGCTTTGAACTGTACTTGTGGGATGTGTTTCTTATACTCCCAAATATCCTGCAATATCGGCTCAATTCTCCTTGGCTGATCTTGTAACTCCCTTGTTGATCGGGTCCACAACAATTCTTGAATCAGATTCAATAACCACGGCTTGGTATCCTTCCCTTAGCGCTAGTTTGCATGCTCCTCCAACTACTTCTGCTTCAGTCATCAAAGGTGTTCTAGCCATTAAAGGTTTTGCTTCTCCATTCACCATTAATCCCTCATGGTTTCTTGCTATTACTGCATAAGCCCCTTCCCTAGTGCGCTCATCGTATGCCCCATCACAATTAAGCTTTATCCACTGCCGTGGTGGGGGCTCCCATATTTGTTCCTTAGCTTCTCTGCCATTTTTAAGCGCTGCATTAACTAGTTGGGTCTCCTTTGTTGTCGTTACTGCTTGGCTTAGAACCCTCTGCCTTTGGGTAGTTTTTGCTGATATACCCATTCATTACGTGTCTTCCATAAAACCCAGCATATGTAAGCCAGTAGCGATTGACTCTCTTTGTGTTTTAATCCCTTGTCCATCTCCTTTTGCATCTGTTCCTTCAACCAATCTTCAATCCTACTCACTTTGTATCTATCAACGCCAATATGCAATGGGGATGTCCTCCAAACCTCACTTGCCCAAGGGCACAGAAACAGTAAGTGTTCCATAGTCTCTTCCTCCTCCCCACATATGGGGCACAGAGGAGAGCTAGATAGTTTCCTTCTCCATAGGTTCCATCTTGTAGCTAGTGCACCATTCGCTACCTTCCACATAAACATCCTAACTTTTTGCCATACTGGTAAGTTCCATAACATCTTCCAGAGGTCTTGTGGGGCTCTATAGGATGTAGAGGCATGCAGGTATTTTTTTTTCCTCCTCATTCTAGCTCAACTGTAAATGATATCCACTCCTCACTAAGTACTACCCATTCCTTGTATGTGCCCATCTTACTCTATCTGTTTGCTGTGTTTCACTAAGGGGTATTTCTAGGATGATCTTTGCAATATCAGCTGGAAAAAAAGTCAGGACCAGCTCTCTATCCCATCTTTTGTTCGGGACTTGTATCAACTCCTGCACTCCTGCACCCATTACCCAAGTATCCTCCCAACAATCCACTTGACTTCCATCCCCTATCTGCCAGTAACAACTCCTTTGCAGCAAGTCTCTGCCTTGTAATAAGCTTTTCCAGATCCAAGAGTTAGTGGCTCTCGATTTTGCTTTCCAAATGGATCCTTGTGCAAAATATTTTGCCTTGAGGATTTGCACCCATAGTGCCCCTGGGTCTTGTATCATCCTCCAAACTTGCTTAGCCAGCATAGCTTTGTTGAAGCTTTCCAAGTCTCTAAAGCCCAATCCTCCCTCTTTCTTGCCTTTACTTATATGCCCCCAGTTCCTCCAGTGTATCCTTCTTTCCCCTATAGATTTGCTTCACCAGAATCTTCTAATCCCTGCAGTTATTTCTTGGCAAAATCATTTAGGTAACATAAATATAGACATGGCATAAGTGGGTGCCTGCACCACAGCCTTAATCAGAACCTCTCTACCTGCATGATTCAAAAACATTTCATTCCATCCCGCTATTTTACTCATTATCCTCTCTTTTAGCCCTTCGAACACTTGCCTCTTTGATCTTTCCCACTCCGTCGGTAGCCCCAAGTATTTACCTGTTTTAGGCATTACACGTATCTTGAGCTCTGCCGCCAACTCCTGTTGCACATGGGCTGGGGTATTTCTGCTGAAAGTCACTCCAAACTTATTCAAGTTCACTAACTGACCAGTAGCATAGCAATACTGATTCAGTGGAGAAGAATAATGAATCATCCACAAATAGTAGGTGAGTCAAACAGGGGGCACTCCTATTGATCTTTAGCCCTTTGAGGGACCCATTTAATATGGCTCTTTGCATCAGGGCAGTAAGACATTTGGAGATTAGAATGAATAGGTAAGGTGAGAGGGGGTCTCTTTGCCTCAACCCTCTAGTTGGTGTAATCCTTATTGTTCTTTCCCCATTTAAAAGTATGTTATACCTCATATTTGTTACACATTGCATCACTAATGACACCCACCTGTGCTCAAACCCCAAGTAAGGAGCATGTCCCTAAGAAAGTCTCATTCTACTCTATCGTATGCTTTTGCCATATCCAGATTCAGTGCCATTTGATATTTTCTAGTTCCCCTCCTCTGTCTCATGGAATGTAACAATATTGTCCTGTATTAATCTTCCTCCCATGAAGGCGCTTTGATTTTGTGACACCAGTTGAGGCATGAAAGGTTTGAGCCTTGAAGCTATCAGCTTAGAGATAATCTTATAAATAAAATTACAGTAGCTAATGGGTCTATACTCTCCTATACGTTCAGGGTTGGGCACTTTTGGGATTAGATTTACATTTGTCTTATTCAATTCCTTTAACAAGTATCCAGACTGAAAGAAAGAGAGGATAGCACTACATATCTCGTCTTGAATGATATGCCAGTGCCTTTGGTAGAATAGGCCAGGGAGTCCATCAGGTCCTGGTGACTTGAGGGTTCCAAGTTGGAAAGTTGCTGCTTTGATTTCCTCTATTGTAGGAGTCTTCATCATCTCCTGGCTCATTTGTGTTGTAACGACTGGTGGGACCAGCCGTAAAATCTGTGAGTAATTCCTCTCCCCTTCAGTTGTGAATATCATCAGATAATGCTCTTCAATTAATTTCTTTATCTGCTCCTTCTCCATTACCCACTCATCATTTGTACCCTTAATCATAGTGAGCTTGTTCCTCTGTCTCCTCTGTACCATGGTTGCGTGAAAAAATTTTGAGTTTCTGTCCCCCACTTCAGCCATTTCAGCCTTGACCTCTGGCCCCAATATTTTTCTTCTCTTTGCCACACCTTCTCTAGATCCTGTTTGTCCTCCTGATCTCTTCTTAGGGCACATTCGAATGCGAGAGATTTTGGAGCTCCAGCAACTTGTTCTCGAGGCTATCAATTTGTCTTCTGTTATTAGCATACTTCTTATAACTCCACTCCCTCAGTTGTCCTTGGCATCTTCATAGTTTCTGTCTTAGCTTGTACATTCTAAATCCCCATGCTTCTTCACTCCAACTTTGTCTAATCACTTGACTACACTCTTCTTCATCCGCCCAGTATGCCTCAAATTTGAAGTGTTTCCTTGGTTTATGGATTATAGGCTCTGTATCAAGAATCAGTGGGGAGTGGTCTGATCCAATTTCTGGAGTTGCTGTTACTGTAGCTTCTGAAAACACCATTCTCCAACTAGTTGAGGCCAATCCCCTGTCCAGCCGTTCCCTCACATTAGCCACGCCTTCTCTATGATTATCCCAGGTAAATCTGCAGCCTTTACTTTCCAAGTCAATGAGTCCTCCACTATCATCCATAAATGCTCGAAAGCCTCTCATCTTGTATGGTGCTCTTTCTCTCTGCCCCTCCTTCTCACTATTGTTGGCGATGTCATTAAAGTCACCCATACAAAGCCAAGGAAGGTCAAGGCTCCTCCCATAGTTACTGAGCTTCTCCCATTGCATGCGCCTTTTCTGATACTCAGGGTGCCCATATATAAAACTTAAGAGCCATGGCCCCTTTGTTCCTTTTGCTTTAAACAAGATGTCCACCTGATTTTGATTATAACCAGACACTTCCATTTGAGCCTCTCTCTTCCACATGATACATATTCCTCCTGCAAAGCCAATTGGTTCCACAAACCAACTTTCCTTCAAAATCAAGTTCCCTTCTAATTTTCTCCACCCTGCCTCGCTTTATTTTAATTTCACTAAGACATACTACCTGGGGTCTATATCGGACACATAGGTCCTTTAATGCTAGAACTGTCGAGGGCGCCCCTAACCCTTGGCAGTTCCAAGCTATGAGCACCATGGGGGAGTTGGGGGCATGTTAAGGCCCGCCTCCTCGGTCAATTTAACAATTTCCTCTGTCCATTCCACAATCACTTCATGCATCTGCTCTGTCCCCTCCACTACATGTTGTTCTATTGCTTTCCTCCCTCTATATTTTCTGATTGACCTCTGCATTGCATTAGTGTTCTGGATCATATTTTTATCTTTCTGTCTGATTTTAATTGAGGGTGTAATTTAAAATTTTTAATTTTTTAGGGTGTAAATTGAAAATTTGAAGACCGAAGTGTTATTCACTCTCTCAAGTTTGTGATTGTACTGAAAAGTTCAGCTGGAAGTGCGCCAGCAAATAATTAATTAGGCTAGGTGGCAGAAGCCGGCAGGCAACTTACCAGTGTAAGCATATTAACTGAACAAATCATATACAAGCTCATACAATTTTTTTTAGTATAACCCTAAACAATTGATGCCGGAAAAATATTTAGGCTAAATTTTATACGAATCTTTTTTACATTTAACGGGATTTACTCCTCATATTGTTGAGATTTTTTTTTGAAGAAGTAAAAGTATTTTTAAATTTGTCATTTTCAACTCAAATTATTTTTGTTGAGAAATCTTGCCTACCTTACTTGCCCCCTTTTCCCCAAGAAACCAATTAAAAGTTGATTCAGTATGCTCAATAAAATATATGAATATCGCTGTTTCTCAAAAATAAAATAAAAAATGGTAGATTAAGTAATTTTAGATATGGTTTACCTATCAACACACAATCAAGAAGAAATTAGTGAATTCGAGTTTAATTTTACTCGATTCGATAAATAATAAATGGATTAAATTTAGACCCGTCAAATACATAAATTAATACAAATCAATTTAAAGTTAACGCGAATAACATGAAATTATTAAACACAACTTATATAAATGCTATTTAAAAGAGAGCTTCTATAGTTGCACACACGCTCCACGGGCACGTCGCCCAACTTTTTTTTTTTTGATTTAACGGTTAAGGGTGTCCATATTAATTTATGTGTATCTTTCCGAGTCAATTTATATGTATCTCAAAAAATCTTCTCTCAAGTCTAATCAAATACATACCATTTTATATTAAAATTAGAATATTTGTGACTCGTAAAAAATTATCAAAATTCAAATATTACTAGTTGAGTTGCGATTGGGTTAACAACTTCAATTTCCATATATACCTCTTGAAAAATATAAAAATTCTTACTCTGTCTTTTAAATAATTTATTTTTTACATTGTCTTCTCAAAAAAATAATTTTTTTTAATATGGTCTATTATCTTATTTTTATTTGATTGTTCGTCTGTACTAAATTAATCAATTAAAAATCACAAAATTAACGAAGGACCAAATAAAAATAAGACGGTAGGACACGTTATAACATTTTTTATTTCTTGATCAAGGAAAAATGAGATTTTATCAAGGATTAAAATTTTATTTCGGTGTATTATTTCGGTCACCTCGAAAACAAAAACGTTTTGACGTGTTTCGGAAACGTTTCGACCTGTTTCGGAAATATAGTGAAAAGAATAAAAAATTTAAAAATTATTTTTTTAATACATTAATTGAAATATATCAAAATATCTTAAAATATTTTAAAATAATTATACAATTATATTAAAATATTATAATATATCTTAAAACATTGCGAAATATCTTATCGAAACGGTATTTGGATACTTGGATTTTCTCTTCCATATATTTAAATGGTTCCGTGAGTTTCGAAGTGAGGTAGTTTCAGTTTCTCTCTCTTCCCTCTCGGCAACTCCAATGTGACTCCCTCTCTCTGTCATCGCCATTGCTTTCTCAGCTCATTCAGTTATGTGGTTTCATTCTTCGTCATCAAATCTTTCTGGCCACAGTCTCGGGTTTCTTCGATCCTGTAAACGATCCACTCTTTCGATACTTACACCCTCACGCACTCGAATTTCATTTGTTTCTTCTATTTACCCTCGCCGACTTGGCTTTTACTTTGATCTCAAGGTAATACAGAACAGATACATCCGTATTTACTTACACTTGTGTTTGTTTGTACAAATATGTATATGGGTATACTTGTAATGTGATTTCTAACTGTTTATGCCTTATGGGTATTGTTGGGATCAAAGGTTCGAAAATATGGGTACCGTTCAAAGCAGAGGGTTGTGCAAGTTACAGCTATGGCTGATGAGGTACTGCTGTACTATTTTTTGTTTTTCTTGTTGCAAAGTCAAAATATATACTTACCCTTTGTGCATTGCATTGTTATTTGTGCATCTTAAATTAAGTCAATTCTGTTAATATCTTTATTTGGGTATAGCTGTATAATCTTTTGATTTTGTGTTCACTAACTCATCACACACATGTTTGCTGGTTTTAGGATTAACTTCCTTTTTTGGGTACAAAATGTGTGATGAATTAGTTGAGGACCTTATGGTGTTTTGATTACAAAGTTAAGTATTTTTGAGTTTTTATTGGTTGATGGGAAATTAGAAATGGAAGAAATGAAACGTCAAAAATCTGCAATGAGTTTATGTTAAAGTGGCTTTTCTAAAAGATTCTTCTCTTTTTCCTTTCTTATTAAGGGGTTGGATTGCACTCTCTCTCTCTCTCTCTCTCTCTCTCTCTCTCTCTCACACACACACACACACACACACACACAGAGTCACTTACAAAGGCACGGCCAGAGGAGTGGGAGGTGATTATCTTAGCTACTATATGTGAATTTGATAGATAAATACAAAATCATTAATTAATTTGGCCTTTGTTTAAGTAAACATTTGCAGCTGATTTTGTTAATTTGTTAATAAAACAAATAGATACTTTGACAAACCTTTTTCCCTCATGCCTCGGTGTAATGCGTCTAATTTTTTTTTCCCTGGGTCTTGTTTTATAGGATTTGGGGGGTATTGCTTCACTTGATGACTTTGGGAGCAACGAGAGGGCTGTGGAATACATGCTTTCATCCAGTGACGGTGAAGACAGTGATGGAGAAGGTATGTTAACTCCTATAACCGATGTTGATTTGCCTACCAAGAGGAAGCAGTTTCGTCCAACTGATGATGCTTTAACCGTGACTGCTCACCGCCTTGCAATGCTTGGGAGAGCACGCAAGAGAAAAAGGCAAGTGCACAACCTTGCTCAAACTTCATGATCAATTTATCTCCCAATTGTTTATTTCTACTCTTACAACCTATATCGTTCATTCTTACGTCATTACATATATGAGCAATACAAAATAATTACGACACTATATTAATATGAACATGTGGGGGTTTGCACCCCTGCATCCTTGGCACCATAATACCACCACACTCACCCCAACTGTAATGCTTGGATGGATATCTCTGATCTGTTTCCAAACTTGTTGCGGGGTGTTGTGTTATGTTCACGTATCAAAAAGGAATATAGAATGCAGAGAAAATGTGGCTGCAATGGATTTAGCACGACATAAAGCATGTGTTTTTTGCATGATTAAATTCTGTTTTCATTGTTTTTTTTTCCTTTGAGTATTTTCTTTCTTTCCATTAGCTTGATTGTAATTTAAATAGCTTTAAAAAGTGTGACGTCAATAACTTCACAATGTGGTGTTGTTTTAGTGAACATATGATATTATATGGAGAAGTGGATGGTGGATTTCTTTTTCGTCTTTGCATTCTTTCTTTTTCGTTTAATTTCTGTTTTTTGAAGAAATGCATGCTGAATGGTAATTGTTTTTGGGATTTTAATCTTAAGAAGCACAATGGCTGGCTTGTTTGTCTAGTCCCACCTCTTCACCCTAAGCTCTTAGTTCCATCTATACACAAGCATCCCCTTCTCTATAACAACAGCAAGTAGTAAACTACTTATCCTCTAACAATCAAGTATGCCATGCTCTCTCTTTCTCTCCATCCCAGCCCCCAAAAAAATGATTCTGCAAACTGCAGTTGTTTTATAGCACAGTACTGTATATCTATAAGAAGTCTCCACTCTAATGCTGACTGTTTTGGGGACCTACTACATTTAGTTTTTAATGTTTATTCTGTTTTCAGTTTTTTGGTTTTATTCCTAGCTGATAAGTTTACAAAATATCATTTTTTGCATTTTCATCCCTCCATTGATGATGGACGTTAGTAAATCTATAGTTTTTTCTGTTAGTAAAATAATTGCTGCTAGAGGAAGTCAAGATGGGCTTAGCATCTGGTTTGATATTAAGCCTGTGGAAGGCGATTTCAGGGTCTAGCCCAGTCATCTCAGCGTACAGAATGGATTCATTTTTTCTGCTATACAATATTGGTTGACTTCAACAAGACTTTACTCTATGTTTGATCAGTTCTTTCAAAATCCTCTCTTTGCAGGATTAAATACGGAATTCTGAACAATATTGGACTGATTACATTCTTGACAATGCTTCTTTTACTTGTGGATTGGTGTGCGTGGCGAATTGTCAGATTGCCCTTAGCACCCTTTTATTTGATGCGCCCCTTTTCTATGTCAGCAGTATTAGCAGCTTGTGCAGGCTATATTTGTGTCCCACTACTTCGTAGTTTAAAGCTGCAATCAATCATCAAGAAAAGACCTGCTAGGCATTCCTCTAAGGAAGGAACCCCCGTCATGGGTGGATTGTTTTTCATTCCAATTGGTATAATCGTTGCAGAGGTGATAGTTGGTTTTTCTTCAATTGAAGTTTCTGCAGCAGCAGCTGCAACTCTAGCATTTGCTGCAATTGGACTACTTGATGACTTCTTAAGCCTCATCAAGGATCATCACAATGGTTTATCTGCTTGGATGAGAATTTTTTTGGAGGTAGAGCTTCTTTTGCTGCTTACTTCCTCCTTATTCTGGAGATGATGGTTATTGTACATTATGAGTAATTGTACGTGGTGGTGTTTCACAGGTGGCTGTTGGGACGTGGTTCTCATTTTGGTTATATTCCACAGATATATCATCACCCTACAGCATGTATACCTTCTCGTAACTAATTTGATCAACATTTGTCTGATGGTAACTCACACATCTATTCCCATGATCACAATATTTGAGAAGATGCCTAATAGTGTTTAAAATCCTTAAAGTATTTGGCTTCAATTAATTGGTTACAAGATTTTGTAATATTTTTAGGTACGAGCCACTTATTTTTTTTTTAAACTACGATTTTTGTGCACAATCTTTTCATCCTTTCCTAAGGGAACAAGTGTAGAACACAAGGAGCAAGATAGAAAATGATAACACATTATCCTGGAAAGTTTGAGCACAGATAATGCATTACCTCCAATTTATTTCTTGTTTTATAATCATGTCAATGGCTGTGACAAAATTGCAGGGAGTAAGAGATGCGAGCAACACACTGATTCTTTTAGCTACTCGGTCATGAGAATAGATTTAATTTTTTGTTTAATAGCTTTTAGTCGATTTTTTGTAGAATATGTAGGAGAAAGTATAATAGTTCTCTCGCTACAAAGTGGCTTACCTGTTTCAATTGTTTTTTTCCAGTCATATTCCAATTGTTCAGTGTGTGTCATCTGTGAATTGAGTTTATCACAGTAGACAAGATTATCTTTGGAATATCAGAAGCTCATTTGATTATTTAAACACTGTCAACTCAAACCCTTCTCAACTCATTGAAAACTTGGCTTCCTGCAGATCCAACTATGATGGGGTTTTTTAGAGTGCAAGATTTCAGGTATTCATACCTTGGACGAGTTATTCACCAAATCAATGCTTTGGGCAACTTCATTCCCAAACCAGTTAGTTCCAAACCTGGTCACTTTCAGAAAACGTCATTCCAAATGACATCTCTAAGTTAAAAACGTTATTCCAAATGATGTTTGTAAGAGAAAATGAATTTGTTTTAGGTTTAAGGGAAGTTGTGTATACTTCGATGAAGTCTGTATTCGTAATGACTTCTTTAGTTAAAAACGTCACTCCAAATGACGTTAAAGACTCCTTTTATTACTTACACAGTAGACGTTTTAACCACAACAACTTCAACATAATGGCATCATTTAGAATGATGCTTTTAAAAACGTCATTCTAAATGACGGTTTTCACAAATAACATAAGCATCTCCCACACTTCAAATGTCCCAAATTAGAAGCAGTAATGTTATGCTTACCAAGTTTTTTACCAAGTTTTCCATCCTGATGTGACACAATCTCCATCATTGAATATTAATGGGACTTACTTATTTGATGGTGAAAACTGTGCCACATCACTTGGAAAGGAAACTTGTTAAGAAATTTTGGTCAACATAGTATTGTTGAATTAGAAGACCTAAGCTCTCTCACTCTCCTCTGCTTCTTTATTCTCCGACGACAATACTTCCAAGACTAACTCTACAACGATGACTTCCAGAGTAACTCTGATGACGACGAGGAGTACAACTCTGAGGCCTAACTTCGATGATGACCCTTGTGCCCGGTTATCTCTTTCTCTCTCTCACCACTGATCTCCGCCTCCCTTTTCCCCAAATCACCATCACCTTCCCCATTTCCTCCACCTCCATCTCATAGTCGGCCACACTATCCATAATCCCACCCAAACGAAACCCCAAATCATCACCACCCTCCCCATTTCCCCCACCTCCACCTGGCCACCCCTTCCACAATCCCACCTAAACAAATCACCACCCCTTTCCTCGTAGCTTGGGTCACGCCTATAGTTATATTATAGGAAGCACGGATACACATCGAGGGGTCGCCGTGGCAGTGTCGGACACATGTCCGACACTTGTAGAAGTGTTCTAAATAGTGGCTTTGATTTTTTTGGTCGGATACGGCTCGAATACGTGGGGGACACGGGAGGGATACAGTGAGGTACTTTTGTTATTTTAAAAACTTAGGGGGCCAAAACGGAAAAAAAAGGTTTCATACGTCGTTTGGCTTGAAAAAATAAAAACAAAAGGGCAAAAGACATTGTTCACACCCATCATTCAGTGTGTGTGTGAGAGAGAGAGAGAAGAGGAGAACGAGCTCGAGAGGACCAGAGGAGGAGAAGAAGAAGGAGAGGGAAGAGGAAGGGAGACTAACCTGCGATTGCAACTGTGACTACGACTGCGACCTACGACTTGCAATTCTGCCCAGTCTCTTGCAGGTTCTTTTTCTTGTCTCAATTTTTTTTTTTTCAGATCTGCTACTGTTGCTCTTACGGTCTTACCTCTTCTGGTCTGTGTAGAGTCTGGACTTTCAAAAAGTTTGATTAGGTTAATTGATTAGGTTAGGGTTTTAGGCATTTCAAAATTTGGGAATTTTAGGGTTTTCAATCTTCTTGCCGTATTGTTGCCTTTAGGGTTTTTGTTTTTTGGTCTGGTGCTGTGTTGCTTGCTGGCTTGCTGCCTTTGAGATTTTTTTTTGGTCTTGGTCATCTGTGTTGCTGCCTTCTGTGCTAGTGTACTGCTGCCTGTTGATTTTAAATACTGAAAATTGTTTCTGTGCTGCCTGCTGGTTTTTTTTTTTGTCTTGGACATCTTTGTTATTATTAATGTTGTTTTTATATATATAAAAATATATATAATTATTTTAATTAGCCTATCCTCGCCATATCCGTATCCTATATTTTGAGAATTTGCCGTATCGCCGTGTCCGTATCGTATCGGATACGACACCCGTGTCCGTATCCGTGCTTTTTAGGTTATGTTAATGTCTTGATTTCTTATTGCCTTGGCTGTGTGTTTACTTTTTGGCTGCCATTATGTGCTTATAATATGTTCCTCCTTATTGGTGTAGCACGAGCTTACAATACTTGACTCAAAATTGCTTTCTTTGGCCTTTCCCTTTAATGTGATTTACTTATGCACTCATGTACCACAAACCTAATCATTTATGCAAACCTTTGTGGACACTAGATTTTCTCATATTAGTGTACAATTGTTGTTTTGATATTGTTGAATATATGGTAACAAGATGTTGCCACAAAAATGCCACTTGGGGTATCTGTTGTATCAAAAAGCCATATATGAGTGCATCGTTGATGAACTTCAAGATAGATAGTTACATTAGGAAGAAGTTGAATGTTCTGCTTGAATTTTCGTGTTTAATTGAGACAGAATGATTAATCTAAGTGATGATAATTTGTTTTGAGCTTAATCGAAGAATGGGTTTTGTTCATTATGTTACACAATAAAGTGATGAGAATTTGTTCATTGTTTTGAGCTATGTACTATGGTTGTAGATTTTGGCATTGAGTTGGGATGTGGATTGTTTGGAGTTTATATGGTGTCTTGTGGTTCGTTGATAATTTATCATATGTGGTATAACCTCATATCTTAGTGCTACCTTTTTTTTTCATTTTTGCTTTTAGAGTTTATTGGCATTTGTGTCATCTCTCCACAATACTTCTAGTTATATTGGTTGATTGAAAACCCCATGAAATAGAACCTTTAAAATTTGTTGAGCAAAAAAAATATATTTGATCGATAAAATAGTCAATATATCTGACTAATCCTCTTAATTCTGTAGAACAACCATAATCACATTTTTTTTCACCTCAAGTTTTAAAAAACCAGATGAGACTATATGAGAGGTTCTATGTCATTGAGTCAATTAAGTTTTTACCATAGATGCCCTTCATCATCAAATACATATGGTGGGCCACCTATGGAGACTTCATTAGATTTTGTTCAATTTTGATTAGTTCATTTTCAGTTGAAATGTCATTTGGAATGACGGTTTGGACATGAAGGCGTTATTTGGAATGATGTTTTCTAAAAATGACTGGGTTTGGCAAATAAGTTTGAAACTGACTGGTTTTGGGAAATAAGTTGGTGAGATGCATGGGTTTAGTGAATGCCTCTACCTTGGACTGTTGAATATCTCAGTAACTAATTTGTTGTCTTGGTTGTTGGTGAAAGATATATTCAAAGAATCTCCAATTTGCACTCAGTGAAAGCCCTTTTGGTTTTTGTGATCTGTTATGGTCCTCTACTACCTGCCAATTTTACACAGCATATTGTGCTTGGAATATTTGATTACAAACCTAGAGCATTGCTTTTTCCTCCCATCGGATTGACAAAAAAAACCACAAAAACAAATGGCCCACGTCCATCAAAATGTCGTTTTGCTAGACAATCGCCCAATTAAGGCACACACTACTCTATTTGCAATGTTTGCTTGTAGTTATCTCATCGTTTTTACCGTATGTGTTTTTGAGTGGATGTTGGTCTTGAATTCATTCCTCCACTTGGACACTATGATACCTCAGGCTGGTTAAAAAACTCAGTCTTGATCAATAATACTTGATTTATATTTTTTTTTGCCATGAGGAAACAATTGAGCATCTAAAGGATGAGAGAAATGACATTCAAAGAAATAAAATCTTTTGGAAGGGAAGGTATAAGGAACAAGATGACCTGTAAATGCGTGAGTATGGGAACGTGCACATTCTTCAAAATAAACGGTAGCTTTCTTAGATGAAGTACATGATGATGTCAAATGCAACCGTGTAAGGATTTTTGGTAACTAATGGGTTGGGGTGAATGCATTACTTACTCCCTGGTGTGAAACGCATGCATCCATGGACAGTCTATGTGGCAACACTACTACAATATCGGCTGGTTGTACTCATATCTGCTTTCATTCTGCAATGCAGGAAAATGGTGGTTCCTCTACCTGCCCCACTGGGCCTTGTTTGCCTTGGAAAATTGTACATATTATTGATTCCATTTTGTTTTGTTTCCATGGCAAATGGAACTAACTTAACAGATGGTCTTGATGGGTTGGCCGGAGGGACTGCTGCACTGGCTTTTATAGGAATGTCAATTGCAGTGCTTCCAATATGTTCTGGTCAGTAAGCATATTTTGAGATTCAATATAGCTTAGTTGGAGGTGTTTCCTCTAATTATTCAGAGCACAAAATATGATATAGTGGAGGGAGGGTTAGGTTTTATTGTTTGATTTGATAAGTACATAAATAGAGATCTTTTAAAATTTTTATACCCTGGTGTTTTATGGTTGATAATTAATATTGGTAAAAAAGAAAATT